TTGGATTTTCCATAGATAATTAAATGTCGGTAGTAATTACTGTAGAGTTTCATTAAGATTTTCCATAGATACCTAAATTTCGGTATTAATTAACGTAGAAATTCGCTAAAGTTTCCCAGAGATACATAAATTTTCGTAGTATTTACCGTAGAGTTTCGCTGGGACTTTCCGCAGATAATTATATTGCAAAAGTAATTACCGCATGGTTTTGCTAGGATTTTTAAAATATATTTAAATTCCAGTAGTCATTACCGCAATTTTGTTAGGATTATTCATAGATACTTAAATTTCAATGGGAATTGCCGTAGAGATTTGTTTGGATTTTTCTCAGATACTAAAATTTCGCTAGAAATTACCGTAGAGTTTTGTACTGGTTTTTAATGCATATTTAAATTTTAGTAGTAAGTACTGTGTTGTTTTGATATGATTTGCAAGAAATTAGAAATTTCTCACCGATGATTTCTTTAATTTTACATCTAAATGTTCTTTCCCAACAATCTTCCACAATAATAAAGAAATCTCATATGATTTATTTCCGGCGCAGTGCGGTTGCCCTTTGTCCAGCTGTGCGGACAAGTCAATGTCCGTCACTGGGCGAACAAGCTCTTCAGATTCCTCGATAAGCTGTTCCGAGCGATGGTCGCCACTCAGTAATACATTAGAACTACAGTTTTGTGCCGTCAACTAATCAGTATCTCTACCCTAACAAAATTTATAGCCGAAGGCGGCTCTTGATAACAGAAAGCCTAGGACTCGGGGAGCATAGTCCACCAGCTTCCCTATGTCTATTTTTCGTCGCAGCGCTAAGTGGACCACACCTGGATCCCTTAGAACTTAGCCGTGCAGTCAACTTCATTAAAAACCTATTTTACTTCATCGTTACTGCTATTAGAAGAATTAATAAATAAATAAATAAAAACTTTGCGAAGCATTCTAGCTATTATTGAAAGCGCCGTTGCGGCTTTCAGCAAATTTCAATTGATCTTAGTATGTTATTTAAATAAACATTTAAATTCTAACTCGACTGTGTGAATCCATACAGAGGTTAATACTGGGGTTTTTACTTTTTGATTAAAATCCAACATTCATTTGAACGCTTTATTCCTCAGGTAGCAAGACTAATCCCTGGTTTCATTTCACTTTCAGGTTTGGAATGCAGGTTGTTCGTCATTTTTCACTGTCTCTAATTTAATTTTTTTCGGTCATGGATTCGTGTTTGTCGAAGAAACGTCGAAGAAACCCTAGCACATTGTTCGGTTATACAACGCAGTCTGGAAATGGTCCGTCAATGGGGTGAGAGAATTACAGATCTAATCGTTGAATGTAAAGATACAGATGAATCACCGAATTCCGAAATAGATGAGCAAGTTGCATATTCCACCAATATTGAGCTGAAATTGAAAGAACTTTCCGTGGAGAGGAAGGAAGGTGTTGAAAGTGTTCGTCAAGTGTCTGGGTCGCTGTCAAGTGTCTGGGTCGCCGTCAAGTGTCTGGGTCGCCGTCAAGTGTCTGGGTCGCAAAATTCCCAGAGAATGAAGATAATGAGAGGATTAATAACAAAAGAACAACAAAAAATATAGAGAAAGAAAATGATGTGGCCTGCCCAATTTCTAACGGCAACGGAACAACATTAGAACATGACAATGAACTCGAAGACAACCTTGAGGAAGAGGAGAAGCAAGTAGAAGACAGACCATCCACTTCCATTAATAAAACACATCAGAAAGCACTAATAAACTTGGTTTCTTTGGAACCGGATCAGCTACTTGTTTTGGAAGTCAAATTGGGAGATCAAAAACATGAAGCCCTGATTGACTCAGGCGCAGCAAATGACCTAGTGAAGCAATCAGTAGTCGAAGCACTGAATAAGACTTGGGATCCTGACGAGGCTATCTCGGTACAAGGACTAGGCATGATAGACATCCGCACTCTTGGAACCACTAAACTTAACTTTACCATTTATGGAATTAAAACAAACTTTGCAATATTTGATGTAGTTCCAGATGACACAATTGACCACTCATACTTTTTAGGAACCCCATTTCTACGACAAAACAACTTCATTATAAACATGAACAAAAGAAAAATTTCAAAGGTTTGCAGCAATGGAGCACGAGTAGACATTTATATGGGGGAAGATGGTCAACCAAAGCATGTTATTCACGAAGCAATACCAATTCATGCAGCCGAAGATACAGTGATTTCTCACTCTCCGATTAAAGTCCCTGTCAAGATCAATCTTCTAAGCAAGGAAACAATGTATAACAACAAGGCTCTGTATTATCAAGGTGAACTAAAGCACAAGAAAATTTATGGAATCGATGGTATTTTCGAACATGACCACCAAAGTCCGGCAGTTTTAATATGTAGCAAAACAAAAGATCCAAAGAAGCCTCAACTAATCAAAAGGGGCGATATACTTTGTCCTGTACCTTGTTCACCCAGTCATTCCACACACCATACCTCCCAATTTTCCTATCAAATTAGCACACAGGAGGAGTGGTGAATTATTACATCGTTAATTAGCGATTGCATCAAAGGAAACAAGGAAAAAATGAATTAAAATGCCTTCATATCAACAAAATTCAACCCACCTTCAAATAAACAGAATTCAACCCACTTTAACTATCAAAAAATTCAACCCACCTTCTCTATCAACAAAATTAAGCCCACCTTAAAATCAACAAAATTCATAGGCCACTGATAACTTCATATCTTCAGTATACCAGAAGCCCACCAACAACGGAATATGCCTCAACGCGCGCAGCAAATGCCCCCAACGATATAAAGACAGCATCATCAAGGCATTAATCCACCGCACCTATAAAATATCACATTCTTGGCAGTTATTTCATGACAGCATCTTGCAACTAATACAAGCCTTCATCAACAACGGTTACTCCAATTCACTCTTTGACAATATTCTGAGCCATACCTCGTAACAATCAGCCAAAAAACAAGAGACCCAACGAGCGATGCAAGAAACTCCGAACTTCAACAAGTCCATAATGTTTACTATCAAAATCAATATTCATCTGCATACGAAACTGATGAACGAGTCCCAAAGCATATGATTAGAAAAAGAAGTTCTTAACAAAGCCGGCATAATTTTTAACCAAACATATCTAATAAAATTTTGTAAAATAAAATGAAAAAAATAAAGTATAGCGTACACTCATAGAAATGAGTGAGATATTGTCCAAATAGCGATGTACTTTTTTTCTCTTCTGGGTAATTCTGGCCCAGTTTGGCCCGGCAGAAAAGTGCATCAGTATAATGTCCCCTCTCTGATAGTGCCTATGCACCATCACACCATCCTCCACTCCTCCTCTTCCTCTGGCTCCTCCTCAGCAGGAGCATCCCGCTGCAGTTTCGCGGTCTCCTCCAACAAGGAGTTGTAGAACTCCTCGATGGCCTCCTCGGAAGGTGGCTCGGACTCCCCTGCTTCACCTACGATCAGTTAACCGTCAATAACATGAATAAAATGACATACAAACTCCTCGATGGCCTCCTCGGAAGGTGGCTCGGACTCCCCTGGTTAAGAGGCGCGGGTTCGATCCCAGCTCTGTGCGCCAGTTTCTGGTCAGAATCGGCAAGGAGGCCGGGCGGTTAAGCATAGCAGAATTGTAGCAGTGAATTGCGAGTTCGAGACCGCGACAAGCTGTGGATGTTCTGCGATGTTAAGAATCGGCGACAGGCCTTCGGCCTAATGAACGCTGAAACCGCCATTATTCTTATTATAATTATTATTATTATTATTATTATTATTATTATAATGTCAAAACAGAATATTTTCGAACATTTTCGGGGTACTTGGCAGTATTTGTGTTTTACTTTTCAAACATAAGTTAACATAACTAAAAAAATTAAGAAAACGTTTTTAATCGACCCGCAATAAATAGGACCACTAAACTTTTTTTAGCAACATAATATCTGTGTGTTTTTTATTTTTTCTTAATAATACCCAAACTTTGAGGTGTAATATTTAAGCACAGATGAATGTCCGAATGTAAGTGTTTTATTAGTTATTCACAAATAAATAATTCGTTATTCGATAATTCGACGAGGTTCGATTCAATTCAAATGGTCATACTTAAAACTTTTAATTTAACATTATCGTTGCATTATCGTAATCCGTTCTCATTACGCTAATCATTTGCTTTCAATTTTCAGGTAATTTCATTTGATTGGCCATATTTCCATTTGATTGGCCGAAAGAAAATTTGCGAGCAAAATGACATGAAGACATGAAATGGACTTTACGAGACTCACTGGCGGTCAAAAAATGGCATACGGAGGACGAGTAATCGGACAAGTGGTCCAGCAAGAGTTCTTATATTTCGCTCATTACGCTCCATGGCTGTTGTCTGACATTTTTGTGTTATTATCCGTCTTTATGAAGAATCAGCCGATCTGTGGGCACAGCTGGAACTACAAAAATATTATATCGTCTTCACAATCAACTTGTAACATGAGATAAATCACAGCAGTGATTACATTTTATCCGAACTCATGATTATGTTATCACATAATCATGAAATGTTATAGAATATATGGGGCTTTCCGTCGGGCATGATATTCATTAACCATCTAATTGAATGTGATCAGAGCGCCGATATATGACCGTAACTTTTTTTTGCATTACTCTTATTGTATAGCTACTAGTAAAATTCAGACACTAACTCACCACAACTTTTGAAATTTAATCAGCCATGGGATGCACCGTCAAAACTTGTTTATGTAAATGTTAAATACTTTATAATTCACCCAATAAATTGTAAGAACTCGCACCACACTTCTGAGGAAACGTTTGAACTGCGGAGGATCCTTGAGAGCATTACAATTCGACGGACGCCTCATGTGTCTGAGCATTATTAACGATAACGTTAATATTGTCTAATATGTCTCTGCCTTATATATTCCCACATAACTACTGATTTTTTCTAATTATAAAGTAAGTTATTCCATCTTCCTACAAGCAAGGTGTACGCATGGGACTTTCTTGTAGGCTAGTCTTTTGGGAACGTTTGCTAAGCTATTCCAAGACGCGCCATCATGGCAGGATAAGAAATGAACATTCCATGACGTACGGGTTCTAGAAAGAAAATTACACGAAAATACTTAAGAAAAATATACAAAGGATTCATGAAATGACGATGTATGAACCAAGACATATCAATAACAATGAAACGGGATAATCAATAATTTAAGTAATCAAATAAATCTAACTGAGCGAATAGCTTGGTTCCTCGGGTACTACTGGCTTCTATAATCAGGAATCGTATATCAAATAAATCATTTACTCTAATCAAAGGAATGAGAAGGAAGTAGAATGATCAAATTAAACTGAAGCAAATAATTTTCAAATCAATTGTTCACCCGAGGCTTTTACTTCTTTATAAAAGGTCACTGTGTACGAAAAATATCACATCTAAATACATCTCAGAGAAGTCGTCTAAGTCCCTTGTGTTGTTCGGAAATGAGATAAGATGATGAAGTTTGTGATATGTTTTGACACATGTTTTTTCACTTAGCACGTTAACTATTTTCTGTACCAATGGCTTCATCTTTCTTCCTAAAGTGGCGACGTCACGCTTGGAAATATGCGCACAAGGTTTGTTGAGAATATTGACGATTGGTCGTGCGTGTCTTCTGCAAGACGAAGGAACATGTAGACAATCATTCCTTCACAGTCACTTCAACTTTATATACTTTACCCGACGCAACGCTCCGCTTGTGAATCTTAAATAATTATTCCACAGCAAATTAGAATACAGATAGTGGCATGCTTGTTGACAGCTGCTAGCCTGTTCGTTGGCACTCCTCTTCTAAGCAGTAGTCACTTAGTAGCATGAGTACGAAGACGAATTCGTGCTGTCCTCATTTCATACGGACTCCTCTGGTTCATGGAAGTGTCCGGAGGCGCGTTTATGCGCCTCCAGACTTATTATATATTATATATTGCTACCTGAACAGGGATTCGGCGCCTAAGTGAGTGAGAGATAAGTAAGACAACATCTGTCTAGAGAACTTATCTTGAAATAGGGTTTTAATACATGAAAATTATAATAGTGGTATAAGGCTTAGACGGCTGCTGTTACGTCGAAGCAGTTCTATCGCGAGTTTCATTGTGGCTTGCTAGTTAGTTACTGGGGGCTTTACTAAGGATTCCAGCCCTCTTATAGAGTCACAACTTCCGCCCGCTACTGAGGTCTTGATCGCGTGATCTCTCACGTGATGTTGTCCATGCTGTCTCAGGTGTAGGACCTTTCCATCAATCTCTACAACGTCTAGTGAACATTACGTCGCAATTACAGATGATCTAATATTAGAATATAATTAACATGAATATAATGAGACGCCTGATTCACCCAAGACAGAGCAGAGCCTCTAATAGCGTAAGTGGGTTGAAGAGACTGATATGGAGTGTCATTTACCGTCGTCATCTCAAATTAGCCACATATTTCTTCCGCAACTTATGTACATATAGCTAAAAAAATGAAAGTAATAGTAATTAATAAAATAAAATTGACATGAAAATAATCAATATAATACATTACGATTCACTCTGAAATATAACAATCCCGAATAAAGTCAATAAAGCATTTGACTATAGCCTATGAAAATATTTCTGCTTTGTTTCTGGCGCGAGTGAAGTGGCTTGTCAATTCAGAAGGATTTCATGCTAGTCTAAAGAAATATCTAATAATACTTCGGTATAAAATAAAAAAAATTGACGAACTTTAAACTTTTTCAAATTCACTGCAAAATAAGTATTATTTCGCATTGTGATGACATGTAAATTAAGGCCACATTCATCGTCCTAAGTAGTGGATTAATTTAATGTCTGTGGACACGCAGCAATAGTTCCGGCAACATGGAACGTTCAACAAGGGCTAAACGACGGAGGTGCACAATTGGTCTATGATCCTGCGTTTGCTAGATCTGCTCCTTTGTATGGAAAACGTTCGTCCTAATTATCAAGGATTTGTCACGTGTGAGTATTGTGAGTAGCGTCTAAGAGGAGAAAGTTATAATTTCATAATCTGTATAAGGGAGAAGTGTTTCATGGAACGAATGTTGCGTCGATCACGTGTTGCGACGATCGTGTGTTGTAACAATTCACTTCGCCGCTCCTGACCGCTGTTGCAGTATCAGATCATTTATTTGCGTTGAACACTTTCACTGTTGAGTTTGCAGTCATCAGTGATGTACAGATGAACATTCGACCTGTTGGGATAAGGCAAAGTTTAAAGTGTGACATCTAAGGGTGTACATCTGAATGCTGTTCTCAAACACTGCCAAGAGCAGAAAAACACGAGTGTTTAACTGAGGAATTGTTTTCCTTCTTGATAAAGTAGGGAAGTATTGAGCGAGAAGATGTCATGATAAAAGAATTTTACTTGTGATGGTTATGAAAACGCTTGGGGTAGGAGTACACCGAATAAATGTTATTTCAGGCGATTTTTCACACGTCTCCGTTTGCTAACATGTCACTATATTCGACAACAAAGAAAGGTAGTTTCATGACACCGACACTGATGTAACTATGGATTATAAACTATGTGATGAGATATATTTCCAATATTACTGAAGTACCAATTAGGCTTACCCATCGGTGTGCAATTCATCTTATCTGATTTTAATTTTTTACCGCCCTAAGATTGCCGTTATAACATTTAATGCAACTTAAATCGCAGCAAGTTCTCACTCACGCCAGTTATGAAGGATTGATATTGTTTTTGTTTAGTGGCAAGACATTGCAAAATATTACTATTTTTCTAGGTACCCTTGAACTTGAACATTACAATTACTCGACTAGCACATCTAGGTTAACTAAATGTACAAGATTACAAGAGTCTGTTCAAAAATTGCAGTATCTTAGTTAAGTAATTCATTTGCAGCTGAGACATGTTGATGAGCTTTACACAGCCAAATATTTGTGTTTGCGTCCCTACTTCCAATAACTACTCTCTGGCAGCCTAGATGCAGTGAGTCTGAAATAAAAAATCAAGCTTCCTGAGTGGCAATCGCTGTATGTTCACTGTTCAAGCGTTTGCGTCCACTCGTTCTAACACTAATCACACCGTCATTAATATAAACCTCTTGAACTTTAAATTAAATTTCGCATGTAATATTGATAACTCACCCGTGAGTCTCGGCGCGCGTGTCGCCCTCGCCGCCCGTCCTGACGCGCAGCTCCTGGAGTCTCAGCAGCAGAAGCTGCACGTCTTCAGCACGCAGCTCGCTGTCCCACACCTCGAGCTTCCCAAACCTGGACATAGACATTTTAATGTTCAAGAGTCAGCATAAAACTTTAGTCACTTCCGTTCGTAACATGAAACTTGTTGTTTCTACCCATCGCACAAACATTCTTTAGCCCCATAAATGAGATTTCCTACATGACTCACAATCCTTTATGATTTTTACACAAAAAACACAGCAAACTTCATTTATTTCTATCTGGCATTAAAAATCAACTCGTCATAAATTCAAACGTTTAAAAGAAAAATGAAACCTGGCTGACGACAAATTTTCATGATCTTCAATATTTTCACATTCATAAACCCGGTCAAATATTTTTCAATGTTTTTGAATGAGGTAACAGACTTTGGACGAGTCACAAAATTTACTCTAATTTCCACCATCTTGTTCTTTCACCGTTACCGTCGAGTACAATCATGATAAATAATATCCTAACCCACTAACAGTAAGCAGAGGACCCATTGTATGAATTTGCATTGAAGTTACCCTTTTCAGGAGGGTCAAAAGGATGAAGTTATCCTTTTAATTCTGGAAGGGTTAAACATTTTTTTCAGCATCTAGTTTCAATTTCCTTGTTAGAACGCTGTCGCTTAACTTATGTTTGAGTTCATGGTCCTCTGAAACTTGCGATCGTAATGGTGATGAATAGCATCAGAGTATTCACGAGTTTATTTTTCAAAAGTAAACATTCATTAAATGTTTTTTCTCGTGCGCAGTTTCTGTCAGCAGATACAATGCCTAGCAGGTTGCGTTCGAATTAACGTCCCGTATCCGTGAACTTAAAATGAATTTTTGGATCAGCCAAGGCATGCAGAAAGAAATTACCATTTCTTTCAGCACTTTGCATGTGGTTAGACAGCGAAAACCCATCATCCAATGTTCCAAGTCGGCCTTTAAACCAGATAAACAAAATTCAAACCATTAATTCCCTCGCAATACAGACCGGCCCCCTGCAGCTGCAAATGAGGCGACGGTGTGGGCCACGGTCTCCCAAGACCCCTCATCCGCCCCATCCACAATCAGTGCTGGTGAGGGCGATGATGGCAGCGCACACTTTGGGGAGGTGGTGGGCAGTGGGAACGTGAACATGCCTGCATTTATTACATTATTTAGATTTAGAACATTTATTGTTTATTAAAGATGTTCATTACAACATTCATTGAAGTTTGTATTTCAAACGGGCCCTGCAATTGAACGCAAGCTGGCATTTGTAGGCACTGAAATGCCACCCTCCCCGAAGCTGAATTGTGAAGAGCTCTTGAACGCGTTAGATGAAATGTAAATCAGTTGTAAAAAATAGGCTTTAGAACAGATATGGCCAACATTATAAATTATTTATTGTGAACATGAATCCTTTAGATACTTTGAAAGACTCTGTAAGGCTTTAAATTATTGGGCGTCTACAATGATGAAGCATTTAAACTGACGCAAGGGAAAATTTGAAGGATTTTCAATGATGTTACGAGCACAAAAGTCGCTGAAAATAGATAAATATACTATAGAAATATTTTTAAATTGATGTACAAGACAACATTATTGAAGCGAAAGACTCCGTCGCAGTTATGTCATTAAAATAAAAACCATTTTAGCGCTCATGATGAGCGACGTTAAATAGACATTAATTGTTGATAGATAACAATTCCCGATATTTGCACTTTTATACGGTACGGCAAGAGCTCATTATCTGAAATGAAGTGAAGAATTGCATCATAAATGACTTACAAATCTCGCAACTAATGTAAATGGTTGTAGCTTATTTAACTTAGGAAGATTTTATTCATTATTTTTATTAATAACTTTTTATTCAGTAAGCTTAATTTGTTTATTTCATCTTTTATAATTTATTCATTAAGTTTAAGAAGGTTTAATTTTTTTATAAAGTTTTTAAAACTATATAGTTTTTACAGTTTAAATGAATAATTGATGGCGCTCGGATTAACAAACGTTAAGGTATCTTAATGTAATGTAAAGAGCGGCATGACAGATATAAAGTTGTACAAATCTTATGTTAAGTGTTCCTGTGTGTAATTTATGATGTGTGAATTATTTCTTGAATACTTCTTAAATTTCTTATGATGCAGGAAGTATTTCATACGAGAGATTTGAAGGTCGGCATGTTTTTGCTGATCAATTATAGAATAGCTTGTGCGGCCGCCCTTACACAAAATGTGGGAGCATTATATCTATTGATGTTTGATGAATAGGAAAGACTTTCCTCTCAGGGTTGACTGGGTTCTACAGGGTGTTTCAGAATTAAGTAACCCTTTTAATTTGTTAATATATAAAAAACTAAGAACGTTATGAAGTTGAAACTTGTTTTATTTAAAAGAAGAACATTTTTATGGTAATGTTGTATCCTAGTTTTTAAATATAATATCTTTTAAATGCCCACCACAATTGTTTTGACAAAATAGGGCTCTTCTCTTCGTTGCTTTCATAGCCTTCATTAGTGTTTCTGACGAGAGTGCAAATTTTTGATATCCGCAAATTTTCGATAAAGATATTTAAATGTGTTTTTAGTACGTGCTACTGAGGGCGCTGAGGTCCAGGGGCGCCGGCATGCGGATGGTCAGACGAGCGTTGTGGACAACTGAAGCGAGGGCGGCCACTCCAGCGGGGGTGCCCACACAACCCTCCAAGTGGACCAGTCTTATTCTGGAATTATACAACAAAACCAATAGTATATCTATGATTGGGATTTTGTTGGACTGCAACAGGATAAATATGAAAAAAGTTGCACTTGCCCCTACGCCACCTCTCACTTCTGTGCAGAAATAAGTGAAGCCAACTCCACTGCCATACATGATGGTATTTTTGAAGTAGAAGCACCGTAATGTGTTCAGTATGTATAATACAGGATAATAGTGAAATAAAAAGCGTAGCTTGCGACTACAAAAAAAAATTTTAATCCTACTGAGAAATTTTCACAACACCATCAGGGACATTTAAGGAGCATTAAACGAAGGACAACATGCATGTAGAGCTGCCTAATGAACTGATCAGTAGCTGGAATATACATTCGACTAGTTAATCAACCAAGTGAAAAAAACACACAAGAGAGCTATCAGGTAACTTACAGAGTTAAACAACTGATCATCGTGAAGTGCAATGCCGATCCTTCAGCAATAGTCTGGCAAATAACTACCCAGCATCTTAGACAACAACGCAATTCTAGCATGTGTTTGCATTGGTGTGTGTTGATGTAATTGCGATGTCATCTGCATAGATTGAGATATGTATGTTGTCTGGTGGGGCGGGAATATCATGCATGTAAAGATAGAAGAGGGTTGGTGAGAGGACTGATCCTTGGGGTACGCCATTCGGTATGTTCTTTGCGTGTGATGACTTGCCATTGTAGTACGAATGGCTGTCTACCTTTGCTAAACACATATTCCACACAAGTACAACCTTACATCACACAAGAAGAGGGATGGCTCGTACGCAAAGTAACCTCCACTAAATCAACAAGCATACTACTGACAAACCACACACAGAGAAGCATCAACACAGACCCATATTACACTAAACAACACCATCATACCACACACACATGAAACCAAGATTCTAAGTATCACTTACGACACTTCCATGTCTTTCGGGCCACACCTACAGCACATCAAAACAAATACTTCAGACCTAGGCTAAACTCACTCAGAGCCCATACAGAATAGCAGTTAAGCTGTTCAGACAGAATGCACCTGAGCAGACTGCGCTGTGGTCACCATGCCTCATTATACTCCTACAAATACCGTCCGGACAGCACTCACTCGGACCTATGTCCCCAATGTCATGCACTCCCCAACTCCCCAATACCGTCCCCAATATCATGCACTACCCAACTCCCCAATACCGTCAAGCATCTTCTGCTTGAGTGCCTGGCAGTATCCAGGCTACGGGCAGGCATAACATATGTCGCACAGCTGTGGTCCGAGCCCGGCTCGGGTGGTGGCTTTTATGCGCATATTGAGTTTGTTGGCGTGATCAGGACTCGGGGAACATCAACAACAGCGAAATTCGAAAACATTTGCAAGAAACAAGCTTGGGAAAGTTGTGCCGGACATTAGATTTATGATTGATTCAACAAAAGTCTAATTGGCGATCATCATAAGCGATGATGTCAGTGAATTATCGCGATTCATGTTTGGAAAGAAGAGGATAACAAAAATCATCTCACATGTCGTGCTTCACGTTTTTGCTCATTAGTGAATGAATCCCAAAAATCTAGTTCTTTGGAAAGTTCTCATTAAAAATAGAGGGGTATGTTCGGACTGCCATAGAAATTAAAAATTGCACGAATGAACCAATTCCTTCCAATAGATGCAAAATCAACAAATAAATATAGATTAGTAAAAACAAAAATAGCCAATAATGAACACATTTGACGCACTTAAAGAAACATACTGTGATGATCTCATCTCATCTCATTGTTTTTCAGTAGAATTTTACTTACGTGTCTAATTAATCATACTTATTTCATAAGAAACGAGTAGCAGTATCCAAGAAATAAATATGTAACAAAATATGTAACGTGTTTTATTTATTTTTTCTAAAGCCTCAGTACTTCTTCGTTAATTCTGGTGAGGGTCTGGCAAAATTGATACCTATAATAAGCTGGTCCATCTTCACCCCGGTCTACTCGTATACTGTCAGTAGCCCCATGCAGGACAGGTAAAATATTCTACTAGCCAGCCATGGATCTTCTAGTTAAACTGGTGGCCAGACCTTGCGACGGAAACATTATTTTTTATTAGACACAATGCAGGATGTGTACTCCGTCGTAGTATGGAAAGTCTTCAACATAAGAGCGATAAGTACATGAAGACAGGGAAAGCATTTTAGAAGGCACGAAATTTAAAATTGGATATGAAAGTTGGTAAGATTGAACCAATGTTGGTTCTTTTCCGTCGAGCGCGCAGAAAGCGTACTTGCTTATCAATGTTGATTGTGCTGAGGTTTTCTAGAGTATCTGTATCTACGTCAGAGGTACGCAATGACATCTAGGTCGTCAATATTTTTCTTAGCCTCGTCATAATCAGGCTATTCGTTTCCGTTATCCGTTTCGGTTCTCCATGTGTTGCAGCCGTCGCCGGTACTGTCGGGTCCACCTCGTATTACCGGGTGCCGCGGCTTCGGTGTGTCGCATTTGTCGGTTAAAGTCAGCGTACGAAGTTTTATCCTCAGATTAGTCGCAAAAATTTTGAATATCGGAAGAGTCTCTGCCTATATGTCGATGCCGTACTTGGCTTTTAGTGATCTGTATAAGACACTTCCGAAGCCCCTTTGGCGACAGAAGCAGGCGAAATGAGCTTCAAGTATTATGCAATCATGTTTAATTGCGTTGAGTCAGTCGGTGGACGTTAAGATATTTTGTTGAACATTTTTTCTTTCGTAACGTGCTTGGCTACGCATCTAACATTTTTATATGATTTATTTATAAGCTTGACTATATTGTTAGCCTAAAAGATTCTTACTTGCTCCAGAGCAGTGGCTGGAGGAGGTCGTCATGGGGGGTCGTACTCGTACTCAAGGCCCCGCAGCCGAAGTTCCCAGTTCGAAATTCTCGCAGTCATTGCGGCCGTTCGCCGCAGAGACGTTCGCAAACGCGCAAATCTAGGCAGTTGTTGCCGACTTCACCTCGCGCCCAAGCAGTCTAGCGATGATATGGCCTCATCTGCCTCGAACAGCGCGAGGCCTGGGTCGGCAAAAGCTGCGGCAGGCAACTGGCCGCACCTCTGCCGCGGCCTACGTCGAATATGCCGGCGGTAACGGTTCAAGCTTTGAGGAGGCAGGGAGAGGAAGGGGTGAAGGGTGATGAAGGCGGAGGAATATTGAAGAACTTTCTAGGCATGCATCTCAATATGAAGCTTTTAACGGAAGAAACTGACTGAATTATTCACTTATTTAATTTCTCTAAAATTATGAGGTTTACATGATTTCTTATTTTCTACATTTTTTTTTCGACAGGCCTATTCTATTCTATACTACAGCGAATCCATGTCGCCAGTATTTGTGGAACTAGTTCCATCCAGTATTGTGTGTATTCAGTTTATTGACATAAATTCGATGAAAAACGTGAAATCGGTAT